ACGGGGTATTGTAAGCAGTAGAGTAGCCTTAGTGCTACGATCTGCTGAGATTAAGCCCTTGTTTTACAGATTTGTTAATTTTTCCGTCGTTCAAAAGGGCGTGGGGCGCCTATTGAATGTCGGACGAGAACTCGATCTTAATTGTGGCGATGCCAAAAAGTAAATATTTAGTCGAAATTATCATTATTATCATTAGATTTTTTTTAATTTATAATTTTATTTCAAATATTTTTTTATGAATTATATTTTAGTTAATTATATATTAAATAAAATAAAAAAATAAATTATTTTATTATAATAAATTAAAATTTAGAAATTAATATTTTAAGAAAATATTTTCTTAATTATTTTATTAAAGAATAAATTAATTTAATTAGAATTTTTATTTCAATAAAAAATTTTATTTATTAATATATAAAATTAAAAATAAATTTTAAAAATAATCTAAATAAATTAAAAAAGTTGATAGAATTTATAAACCTATTAAAGTATATTAATTTTATAACTTTTTATTATTTTTGATTAATATTAATAAAGTAAATAATAAATTTATAATAAGTTAAATTATAATATTTTTACTAATTAGATAAGTAATTATAATTACAAAATACAAATAATAAAAATAATAATAATATAAAAAGATAATTTTTATTAATTAAATAAATTAAAATTAAATACAAAGTTAATTAATATTCTTAATTATTAATTTTAAAATAATAATTTTTATTATCTTTATTTATTAAATAATATAATTATATCTTTTTTAATTAACTATAATTAAAATATCTCTTTATATTATATCTTTTTATAATTATTCAATTTTACTTTTTCAAGTATAATAATTATAGAAAAATATAATATTTATATATAATTACTAATTTTTTTAATTTTATTATGATTATAATTAGAAATAATTTTTTATATAATAATTAAATTATAATTATTTTAATTTTTAAGAATTATAACTTAAAGAAAAAATAAAAATTCAAAAAATTTTTTGTCAAATTATAATTTGATCAAAAAGTTATAATTTTATTAAAAAATTTCTTGTATTATCATTTCTTTTTAAATATATTAGTTAATATAATTATTAAAATGAATATTTTATGTTGCTTCTTATTATAATATCAAAAGATTATATTATATTTTTAAATAAATTTATAATTTTTAATATATTTATATTAATAAATTAATATTTATAAAATTATATTGAATTAAACTATATTAATTTTAACTTATAATATATATAATAAGATTTTTTTATTCTTAATACTTTTATATATTCAATTGTCTGTCTCTCAATTAATGTTGAGAATAAAAGAATAAAATGCAAATCCATGTAAAATAATAAGTAAGAACTCTCATGATTAGTCTACGTCATCAATTTGGATCAAATTTTAAAGATGGGCCCTTTTCAAATGTCAAATTTATCGATCACTCATATCATTTGTTACGAGGAATTAAAAAGGAATTTCAAGGTTGGTGCTACAACATAGCAAGAGTGTCGAATTCAGATCTCTATTTAATACATGTATGTAGAAAAAATTGATTGTTGCTTATTCAACTTTTTCAAGGCATTTGGGAGGTTGCTTATTTTCGGGACTTTACGGTAATTCTCTTCTTTTGTTTCCAAGGCAACATAAACAGAATCAATCGATTTTTCCACTTAATTATAATAATTTTTATATATGAAAATAGAGATATCATATGTCTTTATTCAATTTTTTTTATTTATTATTCAATTTATCAATCGATATTAATTTTCTCGCGTTTTTCTTGATCATCAAAATCCCTAATAGCAACCAGAAACTTCCAAACGAATGGTACCAAAATGAAATAACTGAAAATAATAGTGAAAGCCAGAAAAGCAATCAATTTAATCGCGACTCTAGGAACAATGCCGAATAATAATGACTCTAATACTATTGATTTGAATTAAATTAGTCTCAATAAAAAAAATCATTGAAACGGTTGACATCATTGATTAAATTTTTTTCACCTATATTATATGCTACAGCTTGATTTTCTTTTCCCGGTATAGATGAATACCCATCATAGATTCCTCGTATTCGTAGTAATTTGTTTGTTGTTTTTATTTTTGATGTAGGATCATAATCATCATCATTTTTAGTTATGATCGTTGATGACAATTCACCTCGATTTCTTAAAATCGTGGCAACACTTTCGAGATCATAAATCTCCATTACAAAATTAGTAGGCGACTAAAGAAATCGGAGTAAAAGATGAAGTTGTATAAATAGGAGCAAAATCTTGCAAGTTAACTTACAGTCGCAGCATAAGAAACACGCGTTTCATATGTTTCACCGTCAACTAAATCGGAAAGTAGGTACCAATGTTCTTTATTATCTTTTACATTTTGATTATTGTGTTCATCGAATTCCGATATTGTTGCAAATGGTATGATGCTTTGATGACGTATTATCGTGTATGAAGATTTTAATGCCTTTCGATAATAAGATCATTTAATCATGCAAGAATTAAGATATTCTTGTTTATAATAAATCTAATGGAATACAAACCGATATATTTTCACTCAGCATCCAAGCATCTATCTGATCATAAACTTGCCTCGATAAAATTTCTATAGTACACGTGAAAATCTCTTTCTCGATATTTGCTAATACGATTTGAAAGCAAGAAAACAATGTATAGAAGAGAATAAATTGATTATTTAAAATCATTTTTTTAATTTAGGAAAAAATGTGAATATTCTAAAGATGATCAACAAGAACAACACACATTTTTAGTTAGATTTATAGGTGATAAAATTTTTCGTTTTTTTATATGAAAATAATTCTGTCTACAAATGGAAAACTCTTCAAATCAACAGCACTCCACCTCACAGCTTGGAAAAGGAATCTCGGGTTATTCGGAACTTAGCGAATCGGAATATGATCCGAACGGTAGTTTTATTAATTCTGAAGTGGAAATTATTTTTTTCTGAAATCACGTGCTCTAAAATATTTCATTATATGTATAAAAATATTTGGACATTTAAATTATAATAAGATGAACGTTGGGATGATTGGGAGGAAGAAAACCCTCAACCAGAAACAAAATGCTTATTTTGTAATGATTTATTACCCACCATTCATGACGTATTTAGGCATTGTGTTGATAGACATGGATTTGACTTTAAATCAATAAGAAATAATTTGAGTGGGTGTGGTTTACTTTTTTCGTCCAATTATAATAAAAAATATTATTTGAATTAATTATTATTCTACTTTGACAGATCTTGATTTCTATCGATGCATTCGTTTAATTAATTATATTCGTCAGCAGGTTGGTTGCATAATGTGTAAAGATATATTACAAACGGATCGTGGATTAATTGGATACTATACTATGAACTCTATCTTTATATTTGGTGGAAAAAAAATATGAAGGCATTAATTAATCCGTCTTTTGAAGAAACCACAAATTTTACAATTACCGGCACAGAACCATTTCTTGAAGACGATGAATATCTCAAACCTGTAATTGAAGACGATCACTTATTATATGGTAATAGAAAGTCTATCCATTATTATATATAAGTTATATTATAGAAAAAAATTGATTCACTACTCGGAAATTAGCATTTGATAATACAGGATCTGAGAATGATTCTGAATTTAGTGATCCAGTATATAAAGCGCACATAAAGGAACATAATGAAGGTTTGATATTTTTATTCCATTAATTTTGGTGTAATTAAGCTTTGTATTGATTCCAACTATTTATTAACAACTATAATCAGAGTATAATCCGACAACGCCACTCGAACATGATCTGATAAATAAACTTCATATTCTTGAGGAACGTTTATTTAGTACAGAAGTTCATCTAAAAAAGGTAGAAACACAATTTGGCGATTATCGTGGAATGGTTAAAGAAGCTTTTTTTGACGTTTATTCCGATACAAAAAGGCAATTCATTAATTTATTATTATTAGAATCTTTTAATTTTTTTTTAATATTCTGATACTTATTTGTGAGTATATGACTAGTGAAAAATCATTGAGATCAGCTAAAGGATCGGTTGCCGCAATTGAAGATCATGGCAATTATTATTATAATTCTTACGCAAAAACAGGTATAATTTTATTTACATAATTGAATTGAACTTTTTTTGCTTTGAATAATGTTTCTGTTTGTTCTGTTCTAGGCATACATGCTGAAATGTTGAAAGATCGAGTTAGGACTGAGGGTTATCGAGATTTTATATACGAGAATAAAGATATTTTTAAAGGAAAGGTCAGATACCGCATGTTTATACTTGCTCAACGATTAAAATCTATTATGTGTGTGTACTCGCTAATTTTTTATTTATTATATAGGTGGTTTTGGATGTTGGTTGCGGTAAGTATTTTTTTTTTTTTTTTTGAAAAACATCCAATTTATTTTAAATTTTATAAATTCTAGGCACTGGTATATTATCATTGTTTGCGGCCAGAGCTGGAGCATCAAAAGGTATTTTATGAAGATTTTTATTTGTTTGTATTGCTCGGATCGAACTCTGAGGAAAAAGATCGTTTTTATATCAAAAGATATATGAATATTTTCATACTTCATTATTTAATACCAAACTAGAGTTTCAATGTTCATATAGTCATCTCGGTCGACGAATCAGCAATTATCGAACGTGCTCGTGAAATCGTGCGAGTAAATAAATTGGATGATGTCATTACGTATGTTGTATTTTTTTGGGAATATACTAACTTGATACTTACTGTTATCCGGATCTTTTGTGTAATAGTCTCATCTCTGGAAAGATTGAGGAAGTCACACTCCCTGTTCCTAAAGTTGACATCATAGTTTCAGAATGGATGGGATACTTTCTTCTGTTTGAGGCGATGCTTGATTCTGTTATTGTTGCGCGGGATCGATGGCTCGTTCCTGGAGGCCTTCGTACGGAGATGATTTTTTTGGACTATCTTGCTTCTGGTTTTTCTCGTGGTTTTTTTTTTTGGTAAAATAATTAGCTATTTAATTAGTTGCACCCAGTCTATGTCGTATAATGTTTGCAGCGATTGAAGAAGAGGATTTGGTTAATGATGCTTTGGATTTTTGGAACGACGTTTATGGAAAGCCTTTATTATTTTAATTGATAAATTTTGAACGTGGTTTCTAAGAGATAATTTATTTTAATTTTTTCATTATTCAATGATGCAGGCTTCGATATGACTCCAATGCGGTCACCAGTAAGATCATCAGCATACGTCGAATCAGTGGATGCCAAAGCAATCATTACCGACGTTATTGTTTTAAAGGTATTTTTCTTCAAAACTATCGGTGTGTATACGAAATAACAAGATGATAATAAGATTATTCCTAAATAAAAAAAGGATTTCCCAATACATACAATCCGAAAAAGTGAGCTAAACTTCACAGTTCCATTTAAATTGGAAGCGATGCGTTCTGGAACTATTCATGCTTTCTTGGGTTACTTTGATACTTTTTTTGCTCGTGATGGTAGCACATCAGTATCAGAATCGGTGATAGTACCATCCTCGTCGCAAACATCTCGCAATGATAATGAAGACGAACGTATTGAAAAAATAAAAGCAAGGCTCAAAAGTACTAGTGGTAGTAATTTTTTTACTACTGGACCTCAAGGAGAAGTCACACATTGGCGACAGACTATATTTTTTTTGGAAAAACCTGTTCCGGTTGTAAAAGGTATCTAATCGATTATCCTTCATTTTGTTTCTCACTCTTTGATTATTTGAATTTTATTATTCTTAGGCACTACGGTCTCCGGATTTTTTGAGTGTCGTAAAAGAATTGATAATCCGCGGGATCTTGATATGGAAATTCGTTATCGGGTGATAGATAATAATATTAATGATGATGATAATGAAATTAATGGCAAAGAGGGAAATGGTAATAAAGAACATGTACAAAGGTTTTATCTCAGGTAAAACAAAATAAATTAGTTTTTTATCTAAATTTATTATGGTAAAAATAATAGATATGCATTATAGATATAATTTACATAAAGTATTAGTATTACTATTACATTATAAAAAGATCTAAAAGAAATAAATAATACTATATCAATCGACGTCACGAAACTTCCATTTCACCGCTTCTCCAACTTTCCGCAAAGAAAATGAAATTATCAAAGATTGTTTAAAAAATAATATACAAATTGTGAAACTTAATCCCATTCCGGAATTTGATTAAAATCATAACCTTCGTATTCTTTATACGCGTAATAAGCTAACCGAACGTGATATGCGCCTACAGAAATAAAAGGGTCAGCTAAAGTAACTGAAATCTTACAGTATTTATTTTACACACCTGGAATAAATAATAATACTCCAAGAAATAGGACAGGCGTTCCTCGGTCTAACCAGGACTGATTTAAACAAGTAAAACAGAAGTTATTATATTATAATCATTTATGACATGATTAAGCGAAATGAGAATAAAATCTTACTTCATTTCCGATCATTCCTACATGGATCAATGACCCAAAAATTATACCCAACGAACCTAAAATGAATAGAACTAACGCTAGACCTATCGATTTCCATGGAACTGAAAAACACATAATAAAGCATTGAGGTTACATTAATAAGTGGAAAAAAAGAATATAATTTCTAAGATATTAAACTATTAGATACAGGTTCATATTCTGTATATTTAATTATACTTTGGAAATGACAAGGAGCTTAATTAGCCTCCAAATTATAGTCATAGTCAAACAAACGAAACAACAGAACTCACTTGGTGTAGGCCTTCTTTCAAATTGCGCATCGCTAAATCCAGTGTCATCGTCTAAATATATATACCGCCGTGACTGTCTAAAGCCTTTAAAGCCACGCATTTTCTTGATTTTTTTAGCCAGCACGTAATATGTTATATGTGTCAAGTATGTATATATTTATATATATAGTTATTATTATTCTTCACAGTGATGACGATATAAGTGGTGTGACTCTCTTATAGTAATACAACAAACGTTTTTGGATAAATCAATAATGAAACTTGAAACCGTCAAAACCTCCCCAAGTACACGCTCTATAAGAGAAGTCTGACTGTAAAGTAGCTCAGTTGTACATTCCTGATTATTCATTATTTTATTAATTAATGTTACGGCGGGAATTCTAAATAACTAAAAAAAATATTGAAGCTGGGACGAAAAAACTATCACATGTTAAAATTTCAAGCACTTCTTGGAGGGTACTTGATATCAATCTTATGAAAAAGGGGGCGTAAAGTGCGATGGCTTTTAGTTTTTCAACTAGCTTTAGATTACAAAAAAATAGCCCACATTCTTTGTTCGATTATATATACATCCAATCAGCATCTTCCTCTTCGTCATCTTGAATAGCAGCGGCAGCAATCCGCATCTCTTGTTTCTTCTTGTTTATCCACTCAGGATCATCACTCTCTAAAAAGAGCGTGGATTAGCATAAATTTGAGTTGAATTAATGACGAAATTGCTTACCAACTTCGTGTCTGCAACTTGGGCAGGTATTATGCTAACAAGTGAGAATAAATTCAAAAAAAGTGAACATTATTTCGCATTGCTTTTTATATGTAGATGAAAAAACTTGATTAATACCAGTTTAAGCCACGAAATTATGCACTCACGATCAAACATGTGTTTACAGGGGAGACGCGTAACGCTTGCAGTTTTACTCTTTGGTGCTGAAAATTTATCTGCGCATATTATACATTCATCATCTTCACATAAGATATCATTACGTTAGGATGTAGAAATCATTGTAGGATAAGAAGATCAAAAGAAAGCTGAAATAAAGAATAAAAAAGCTACCTGATTGAATCTCGGATTTAGGCACCACCGGTAAATTTCGCATAAATGAATGAGAAGCAGGCGGTGCACCTTGTGTACTTTAAAGCATGAAACATTAAATAAGTTTGGATTTTTTTAGAATCATTATTAATCATTAATTAAAAACCTTGCATCAGCATTTTCTAAGAGTGATCTTATATACGAAGCTAACAATTCTCTATCAGGAGAATGTCCGTTTAACAAATGGTCTGAAATCCTGTAGTAATAAAAGTGTAAACCAATTTTACAGTACGGGAAAGTATTTCCTTTGAAAAATTATACAAGAAACACGTAAATTTGCTATTACTTACCCTTCTGCCAAACTTTCAAGTAGCAATATGTTATGAGCATCTATAAATAAAGAATATTTAAATAGAAAATCGTGAATTTTCGAAATCTCGAGTTTTTTGTTCAGAACTTTACCACTTGAGCTTGATTCGTTTTCTTGAGGTTGAGGCAGAGTTGGTCCTGGTTCCGGTAATCCTTTTTCATCTAAAAGAGGATTGGTGTTTAAGAATGAGGAAAATTAATCTTTGCTTATTTTAAACCCATTGAGAAGGCCGAAGGCTCTCTCAAGGGATGTTTTAAAACATAAATATTCACCAAAATATGATGCCATTTTGCAAAGGGAACTATTTAAAATTTAACGAGTTACGAAATCGAATACACGAATACTTGATATATTGAAATAAATGAATACACGTAATATAGATTCTACACGTAATAGATTCTATTTTGAAGATTTAATTATTCTCATTGTGGTAATAGCATGATTTAATGTGTGACATTTCATTTATATTATTATCAAAGGGAAATATCTTTGATACTTTCGCCTGAATAAGCTTCCAATTGTTTTTTTCCTCTTCGTAATAAATACTCTATAGCTGCGTGATCTTTTGATGTGATATCAGGGCGTCGGAATTGAGCACGGACGAAGGCCTGAAAACGTGCTCTTGTTTCCTATTATTCATAAAAAAGCGAAAAGCTTATTATGAATTCTTATCTCTTTAGACGGGCATTCCTAGCCTTGTTAGGAACGAATTCATACCGGTGGTTTTTTATGAACTGCACGGCAACAGTCGCGGTATAAATTTATTACAGATTGTTGGAGTCCCGACCTGCGAGTGGCCGTAGTCATTTAGAAAACCTGATTTTTTGACTTTCCGGGATTGGGGATATTCAATAATTCTTTTACCGGAGATCGTTCAATAACTGGATCCGAATGACGAAATATTGCTCAAATAAAAAATTGCTGCGCCAAGTCCGAAACTTGGATCAAGTTGCTGATTTCCGGAAAAAGCATTGAAGCACATGAATACTGACAAATTTCAATAGTGATTCGAAATCGTAAAATCAGTTTTCAAAGATGTTTAGATTTCAAGAATAATCTTCCAGAATTAATTAACTGGTCAATTCTTTGATTAATTTTCTTTTATATTTAAAAGTAATCGATTTATTAATTCTCGGAGATTAAAAACTATTTCTCTTTGTATGAAGGGAATCATTGGATCTTTAAATATAAGCAGTTAAGAAATGTTGTTTTGTCAGATATTATTTAAGTCCAAGTCCAAACCTATAAAAAGCTTCTCAAGCATAGCCTCTTACATAACATTAATTTAAATTCTCATAAATAATACTCGGTCCAAGAATTATATATATATATATATATATATATATATTCTTTCATTCTTTGGGTTTTAAAAACAGTGGCTCTTTCTCTTTACCTTTTTTGTTACGTTGCCGTTTTTTCTTCGAATTTCCTTCTACACCTTCTCCCGCAACGGTGACCTTACCACTTAAAGCAGATTTTTGCTCGCTTAGAAAATCAGATACAATATCTCGTTTTTTGTTTTTCGGCACCGGATCATTCACTTCGTACCGATTGTGCGCATCCAAATCGTCGTTAGGTGAAGATGATATAATCTCGTGGTATCTCCGTTTTTCGCGTGAATTCGGAATACTGGTTGACATTTGAGAATTATTTAGTGTTAGTTTATTTTGAGGTTTCAATTGACGATTTGAACGAATTTTCTCTAAAGCAAGATGCCTTTCATGAAGCGCTTTCTCGAGATTGATAGCTCGCTCTTCTTTGGTCATTTGTCGGCTATTTCGAGGACCACTGGGTGAAGTAGTCGGAGAATCTTCTATTCTTATTCTGTTAATTGACTTGATGATATCATTATCCGAATCTGAAATGTTAATTATATCTGGCGTAGTTGAGTTCAAAACGAACTTTCGCCGAAGACTAATAGAGCTTTCAATGAATGGAAGATACGATGGTTCATATTCGACCTCAAATTTTCTAATAATAATCGACAGAAAAATGAAAACACAATTCAAGCAAAAAAAAAATAAAAAGCGAATGACAAAGTTAAATCAAACGTACGGCTTCCAAGCTGCTGTTTCCTCGGTCTCAATAACCCAATGAGCTTCCGAGATAGCTCTTTTTTCAGCCTGTTCCTCTTTCTCTCGCTCTTCTTTTGAGCGAGTTCTTTGCATGAACTTTTTTTCGTTATATATTTATGTTTGAAATGAGAATATACTTGTGTAATTCGATCATTTAAATTGAAAAACTACCTCTACTATGTTAGTTTACCTTCAAATTTTTTATTTTACTTGAAAATTGCTTATTTGAATTCTCAGTTTTTGCTTCCATGATTGTTATTTTTATAAAACTTATTTGGTGATTTTTCCCACCTTTTATAAATACTTAGCATCTCTCCACTGATTGGTTAGGAACCTGGGCATAAATCAGGTGATTTCTATTCGCAGGTTTTTTAACAGAACAAATTTCTTATAAAACAAACGAAATCCCGTAATTTTGGTATTCCATGCATTTGGATTTCGTGCTTTCGGATTTCGATCTTATGGGATTTCGTTTGTCGAAATTGTGGGGACTTCGCGAGGTCATCAAAATCATATGCATGTACATATTTGGGGATATATCAACAATGTGTTTTGATATCGATTTCTGGCATCGATCTCGAGAATATTCTGGCATCAATTTCGTCGAATGCTCGACGCCGAATTCACGCAGAGTTGTTAGTATTTAATTCTGGTCTTATTAAAGTTTGATCACGTTATTTATAACTAATTAAAGATCGCGTGACATAAAACAACACCTGGGTTATATCTCCAAAATTCACTGGACAAAAAAGGGAGATATAAACCAGGTATGACTGTATATGGGGTGTGCTGCAACGAAAACCAAAGTGAACTTGTGATGTCACTCAAGATGAAAAGCTTCCGATCGGTAAGCTCTTTTTGAATTAGGTAATGAAGATCTCATTTATTCGAGAACGCGCCTCGCAACATAAATAGAAAATATGTATGCGTTTCAACCTCTCCTTTCTTGATTTTGCCTATACTAATAAGCAGCTTCATTTCTGAGATCACTGATATTGTACATACGCTCTAATTAAACTGAAGGCTAAACACAAATGCATAAACTGAATATTATCTCCGGACGACTAAAGGAAAGCGTACTATTCCCTTTTTTTCTGCTATTAATTTTCCTTGTTAGACATGTGCACCTTCTTGGGCGGTGTTTGCGGAAGCGATCCAAAGCATCCTCCAAGCTGGGGTGCTATGTCTTCCGTCAAACTACCTCTTCTCTTTCGATGTGCGCGGGAATGAGCTAGGGAAACTTCGTTCGTATGCTCGCACATGACCTTCAATGTCTCCTGAAAATTCGAAGTCGATTAACAAATATTAAGATTGTCAAAGGCAATGGTTGTGACGTTTTTGAAGACATTACCTTCAAATCAGACATATTAATAAAGTACTCCTCCAGGCAGGACAATGTAGCAATGGTATTCGGGAGTTTCGTTCGACGAAGTTTCCCGAAACGCATCACGTTCGTTGCCTTGCAATCCATGCCGTATATTTCATGGACCCATCCTTTTAACACAAAAAGATATCTGAGATTATTTGGAACTGGAATCATTATAAGCTGATCTCAACTACTTGCCCCATGATTGCATGCCGATTACGCATGTCTTATGCAGGGCGTCATCCGAAGCGCCAGAATTTGAAGTGAAAAATTGGAAAATCACATCCCGCAGCGTCACCGCCAAATCTATGTGGTCTTCCATGATCTTTCGCCGGTTGGCTTCTGGAAGGCCACCGCTACGAAGGCCGATAATGGCTTCGAAGTTGTTGATGCTGTTTTTCAAGGTACCGCGGAGATCACACTTCTGGCCCACACGGGCGCGCAGAATTACCGATCGACCAATATTGCGACGGCGAGCCGATGCCCAGCAAGCAATCTCGCCGCTAAAAAGGACGTGAGAAAGGGGGGGGAAGGGCTGTAACAGAGGAAACGAACAATCCATACTCACACATCGATTTTCAATTCACGACGATCTAGGCAGCTTTGTGGAGAGTTCTCGAACGCTCTCAGGAATAGCTTTGTCCTTTAAAAGACTGTAAAGTCCTCCCAGGTACTCATTCTTCACTTGACTGAAAGAAATTTGAGGATTCTCAGCAAGGCAGAGGACTGTAAAACGCCGCAAGTTCAACCAATCAGTGAGTTTGGTCGTCTTAAAAAAGAGATGAGTACGAGAACCTGACGGAGCGACGAAGTCTTTAAATTTCGAGAGATAAGGAATGGTCTTTTCAAAAGACGTAATGTTTTGGGACGCGTCGGTGAACATGTTTTGGGACGCGTCGGTGGCTTAAATATATGTGTTTTGAATTTTTTTCCATTACACATTGATCTTGCGATTTGATTGGTTTATCCCTTAAAAAATCACATGATCCGACACTTTTTTTTGTTATAAAAAGGAAAATACGGTTCTTTTCATTCTTTTATTCTGGTGACTGGCATATACGTCCTTAGGCGTATTTCGCTTAAGCATTCCCCTAGGCTTAAGGGAGTAGTTGTGGGGGCTTACGTGCGGTTACCACTTCATTTGAAACCTGATGCCGATGGATCTGCACACCCCGGGGGTGCAAGTCATCAAGTACGCGGTTCCTTGGTTGGCATATACGTCCTTAGGCGTATTTCGCTCAAGCATTCCCCTAGGCTTAAGGGAGTAGTGGTGGGGGCTTGCGTGCGGTTACCACTGCATTTGAAACCTGATGCCGATGGATCTGCACATTCCGGGGGTGCAAACCAAGGATCGCGTAATAAGAAAAAGACGCAAGTATCGTTTTATGCAACCTATTCTGTCTTCTATCTAAATGACTCCTTCTAACTTTATTTTTCTTCTTTGTAAACGTTTTTCTTCCCTATTAACGAGATCGCGATGATGAGAATATGAGCGGAAACGAACTATAGTATGCTTACCGCGTCGATGTCTCTGAGTGATCTGTTAGAACTATCTTTCCGTTGTTTTCTTGAACATCCATTACGCCAACAAAGAAATCACATCCGCTACTATCACTTATTCCCTCATGATCTACAATATGGTCTACTACCAATCCTTTTTTAGAAGGTTTCTGGCAATTCTCTCAGAATTAATTGGCTTCATCCTGATTTAAAACCTGGCATATAATTGTTGGCGAATTTTCGTAGGTAATTCTTTTTTTTTAAAAAAAAATTATTTCTGATGGCTTTATAGAGATGGCCTTGTGAGCATGAAATTATGTAATCAAACCAACATAGCTATGAAATTCATGCGATTTTATAGAGTTAGAATTGGGATGACGAACACATAGTTTGCGATGAATACATCAGTATGTGATGAACGTATTAGTAGACGGTTTGGGAAATTTCTCGCTGAGGTCGATATCTTTAACTTGGATTTTTGGAAGCGCTTCTTCCCATCCTCCGTTTGGCAGAGTGCGCCAAAATCAAATTTCACTTTTCAGATCGGTGACCTTGAACTAGTAGCTTATTTTATTAATAAAAGGTTTTTTAAGCATTACTTTGATAAATTTCCACCACATGAAATGCCTTCCTACTTCAATAAAAAACTGCAGATTGATCTTCATAAACCTGCAATTGGTGAAAGAACGCCAGCCGCATCTTTTCATCTGGTGAAAATAAAATCGAGCCTGATGCCCGAGTGACGTCAAATGTTCACTTTGTCTGGTTTTGTTGCAGCACGCCCCATATGCGATTTATTTTTTTTTACATATGTAGCTTGATTTTAACGATTTCATAATTCGTACATAGCAAATCGGAATATGTCATATGAGTGTTACTTTTAATAGTGAACATCATCACATTATTCTACATTGTTCAATAACGTAATACCGTTACTAGTTCATCAAATAATCCTAACACCATTTTGAGATCTCGTCGAGAAATATTTTCACGAAAAAGAATCTCTTCAATATGATATTTGCCATTGAAATACTTTATAAGTCTATTACAATGCATGCAAAGAAAAAGAGAAAATTTCATCTTGATATTGACATTAAGAGATAATGGCACGAAAATGAAACGAAACGCAACTTACCTCTCAAACAATGCCACGTTCTCTTTCTGTTGATTGACAGTTTTTTTCTTCAGCCATTCACGCTCCATTTCAGTGGCTTGTCCCGGTGGGGATATAATAGCATTATTATCTGCTGTAGTTGAGTTAGGAATAATCGATTCACCGCCATTGCTACCACCACCACCACCACCACCACTTTCCGCACTAGCATTCCGCATCTTTTCTTGATACTGCTCTAACGTTAATCCCATCTTGATATGTTGTGGAATCATGACTAAAAAGTATGCGTGTAGCTGGATTACCAAGTCTTTACGTAACAAATAAGTGATGGCTTCTAAATACATGGTACGAAGATCTTTAGATGGAATTATACTGGCGTATGGTTTCGGGGTGGAAAGTGACGCGAGAAATCCAAAAATATCACGCTCAATTATGTGACTAAAGTCTGCATTAATTGCCGATAAGCTAGCAAAAAATTCAGATTAGAGTCATTCATGAAGAAGAATGATACAAATAAAAATTTAAATTGTCTTACGAATTAAGATCCGCTGTTGGACTAACCACATAAACATTCCTCACGCTGATTACATCAATCAATTTTGCCTTTCGCCAGTATATCAAATGAGCAGCAATTCGATAGATCTGCGCCAGAGAGCAATCAAGTACGGTACATAATTCTGCCAATCTATAGCGCAAATCCCAACCATTAAAGGGAAAATTATTCGTCTCATAGATTTCAATGTATAAATAGACACGTACCGTTGGGTAGGTGTTAAGATTTGTACCAACTGAACGAGTGTTGGATTCGAATCTAATGGCATGCTTTTTAAAATTTCTTCCGGATCTTCGAGTAAAAGTAGCGTATGATATGGTGCAATGACAGGGAAATGCGCGTATTCGTAACCATCACGAGCATTGTCCAGTGGAGAGAAAAACATTGAAGGAGCGAGCGGAGGTATTTGTAACGACAAATCAATATAATCGTTGATAATAACATGAGCAATCGAATCGTTGGATATATCATGATATACTTGGGCGATAGCTTTCGCGAGTGAACTTTGTTTTATAATGCTATCCGTTATTTCGTTAAATGACATCTCTGTCTCAAATTATAAAAATGTTAAATCATCAGAAAAAAAATCATCCGAAATATTGTTCAGTAGGCACATATATCCATACTTTTGATGATGCCTTCATCTCGTATCGCAATGATTTTTTCTGCTTCAAGTCGCACATAATCACATCTCTTTTGTTCATAGCGTAATGCGGCCGTTAGTTTTGTGATCACATGTTTATAAATATTATCAACTTGGCGATTAAGTTCCAATTCGGGTGGCTCCAAGACAAATATTAGATGAAAAGTGGTAAAATGTCGATGTTGTTGTTGTGTCTGTGAAAAAAAATCATTGCTGTCATCTGACGTAATATCGTGATTATTATGACCATGGTTATCACTGGATTCAGAATCTATATTCTGAGAGAATTGCCGTTGAATTTTTTCGTTATCGTTTAAGGTCGGACTATTTATGTTATCACCTAATTTTGGAACATCTACTATTCCTCCTCCTCCTCCTCCTTCGTTTTCACTATCGCAGTTATTTTCTTGGATATCTCTAGGCCAAAAAACCGGTTGGCCAACAAACGTCAAATTATCAATAGTCAATTGAAATTTTTTCAAACTTTTCGATTTTGGTGAGAGAATTTGAGCCAGAAACTCTGTCTCGAATCCAAATAATGTTTGTTTATTTGACTTAATTTCACCCGAGTCAAGAGCATCCGACGAAGTATGATTACTTTTTGAAACATCCTCAACCATATCCTCTTCCATCCTCGAACGTTGATCAAAATCATCGCCATTTCTAATCGACCAATTGATAATGTCAATTTCGGTATAATCAATATTTTCATTATCACCGCAACCTTCATTTCCTGGAGGAGGCGATTGATATTCCTCACCTCGCTTAGGGTTGGTGGGATAGTGAAATACAAAATGGTGACCACGGCTAGAGTCACTTACAAGAAGAATAGCAAGTAATGAAGTTCCCATTGTCATCAATTAATGATTGGGATTTGAACATCTCCACAGAAAGGGTAACAATGCATATCAACTTTATTCATTATGACAATGATTTCACCTTTTTTGGTAATTTATTTATATTTTTAATATAAAGATCATATACTGCAAATCCAATGCATTAATTGATTTGAAAACACGTTATCGTTATGCATATTTTATATAGTGTAAATTCTACCCGCATAAATTAAAAATATTAATTTATGCGCACTCTTATACACCAATACCTTTCGTTCATTCTTTTATTCTCTCCTCTTTGGTTTCTCAATATTAATAAAGGCATTATCCTAACTTTTTTTTCCCTTTTACTTTCTTTATATCCACACATTTTACATAAACTTCACTTTCTTTTTCTTGTTCAAAAAAATGAATAATCAAGCTAGACGCTCACGACATGCATCCGGCATTTTACCTTCAAAACAGTTTTTCGCCCCTCGAAAGCCAATAATACAACACTCGTCAGCTCGACGAAAATCCACGTATTCCATTCACGCAAATGTTACTCACTCTTCAAACTCACCTACCGAACCGTTGCCTCCATTACTTTCTGCAATGGGAAGTGCGGTTCTTTCCTCCTCAATGTCACGAATGTCTTCTGAAGAAAATGACGAGCATTTGCCACAGCGATCGGCGCCTACTAATAGTATGCCTTTGACCAGATTCTCGGTTTCCGCTACCAATCTCAACAGTAGCAGTAATAAACAGGCCAACCATTCATTAGACATACAAAGTGGAGACTCTATAAAACATCAGAGTATTGATAATATATCGCAGGCGGCTATAGACTCTGTATTAGAACCAGCAAATTTGGATAATTATATAGAGTCTGGTGCTTCAAGACGTATACGGGATTCTACGCTGACTATAGATATAACTAGGTTTTCTGATAGTAACATGTCCAGAGCATTGTCAAAAAAAAGGATGACTAAACAATTGGGTACAAATGATCCTGCCATGTCTCCATACGCGTCAATGGCAAAATTATTTCCCCGTGTTGTATTTCAACCTGCTTCCCTGCCTTCAGAAAAGGGCCGAGGACGTAAACGATTATATCAGGTGTGGCCGGGCAGAAATAGATTTTTTTTGGGTGGTAGAATAATGACTAGTCGTGATTTTCCTGCATTTATGGTCGCGGTAACGACACTTATCGTACCGTGTCTTTTATTTTTAATATTCACGCAAGTATTCTATACAGCATGTGGGATTTCCGGATCTTCGTTTTTTTTATTAATTCCGATATAATAATTATTTATTATAGTGGTCCATATCTATACCAAAAATTATCACCGGCGATTGTTTTTGTTTTTGCTTACCTATTTCTCTTGGCTTTGACAAGTATGCTTAGAACTTCATGGTCAGATCCAGGTGTAAGTTTGATAATCTTGATTTTGGCACTATTTGATATTTCGCGGATTTTTGTGGGAGATGGAGAAACAAAAGAAATAAATATAAATATATATATTTTTTGAATATCTTCATAGATAATTCCACGAAATCTTGATCCTTCGCCTCCTTTTGAGGATTTTGAAGAAACTGAAAATAATTTAAACAATCATCAGCACACTTATTTCCCTGCTCGTAGTATCCCATTACCGAAAGACGTAAAAATGAATGGTACCACATTGATACTGAAGTATTGTGAAACGTGTAAAATTTATAGGCCACCAAGATGTAGTCATTGTCGTCAATGTGATAATTGTGTTGGTTTGTATTCTTTGATTGATTGTCAAAGTTTGCGTGCGTGTGCTCCCTATCATTATTTCAATTCTCATGGCATCTATTATCGTTGTTGGTTTTTTTAGAAGGTGAAGATCATCATTGTATATGGTTAAATAATTGTATAGGTCGTCGCAATTACCGCACCTTCTACACTTTGATATGTACTGGCACTATACTGTGTCTCTATATTTTGGGATTCTCATTGGCACATTTGGTGCTATTAATGCAAGAGCGTGCTATTAGTTTTATCGATAGTATATTGGTGGCACCCGTGAGTTTTGTTCTTGCCGTGATCGCTTTTTTATTAATGTGGTCTGTGGGTGGATTAACGATGTATCATACATATTTGATATGTAAAAACATGACCACACATGAACAAGTGAGCATCTATTTTTTTTTATTTGCTCGTTTTACTTTATTAGTTGACTAATTTATTCGTTTCCTTTTCATAGCTTCGAGCTCCTTTAGCTAGACGGAATGGACTTAAAAATCCCTATGATTTTCATAGTATATATCTTAATTGTTGTTGGGCGCTATGTAGACCATTAATCCACAGGTTAATATCATTTATTGTAGCGATATTCTTTAGTTATATGAATAAGAATATCTTCAATCTAATCTAATCTAATAAAATCAATCATCTAGCAATGTACATAGACGCGCTTTTGTGGAGCAAGAATATTTAGATGAACGAGAATTAGCCGGCAGTCGATTAAGTGAGCCAAAGCCACAAAGACATCAACAAATTCAAATGACAACTACAACTACCACAACCACCACCACGACAACTACAGCCGCTATACCACAGAGTCCTATACCACACAGTCCCACTGCCACAGTCGCTACACCACTCAGCCCCACAACCATAGCCACTACACCACTCAGTTCCACAACCACAATCACACCATCTTCTCCACCATTGAATTCGAATTCACGTGAGGAACAAGATGAAATGGATGCTAAAGTTGTATAGTGATGGTGAATTTAGTTAGCATTTGGCTTTTATCTAATATCTCGTAACCGGTTAAATGGTAGATATATGAAATGGTGGTGGTTGTGGAAGGTGTACATTTATGGTCTTCCTTCCTTACGCATTCATTATTGTTTTATTTTTGAAGGCAGAGCAAGAGCGAAATCATATTTTTTTTAATAATTATCACCAATATTTATTTATCCTCATCTTAATCCTTTTACCTCGATCCCCTTGATTTATTTTCCCTTTCATTCGATATAAATACATTATTTATATTCAAAAAATTCCGCATTAATAATATTACTCATCACTCATATAACATTTTTAGAATACTAATGTAAAAATAAATGTAGTTTGATTCTGCTGTATTGTAATACTAGAACTATCATCTTTGTAAAAGTATATTTATTCCATATATTATACGTTTGATTAAAATCAAAAGAGACCGATTTCTGATATTCATATTAGTCAAATCCAAAAGTTAGCTATTAAGACCAGGATCGAATACATATTAAACATATAATATCGATATGTCTTTCCCTGTGTTGACACGGGGAGGGCTATCTTTATAAAGAATTATGCACTTAAAAACAAACAATAATCATTTGAATCAATAAAAAAGTTCTGTGAACTTTGATAATCAACTTTTACATCTGTTTAATGAAGTTTTTTGTTTCTAACAAGTGACTTATTTATTTAACTTAGATTACTAACTTCTATAATATGTTGAACCTATAATGATAATTTCTGTCCTCATCTTAATGATCTCGTTTTATTTGTTTATTTATCTATGTCTTGGATGAATGATTCTTCATTATCTTGATGTTTTCCATCTTGCAATTCGGTCAACGAAAACGAACGAGGCGCAAGATTACTTTTTCGTTGTCTCTTCACGTATTTAAGTAAGGTTAGAACACCAGCTGGTGTTATCCCTTCTATACGTTTTGCAGCACCCTATTAAAATAATATTTGGAATTAAATCATAAAAAAATAGATAAGTGGCGAAACAGATTAACATACCAAACTAGTTGGTCGAACCAATTTTAATTTTAATCGTACTTCAGCTGAAAGATTATAAATCCTTGATATTTTTTTAAAAAAAAATTAATTCACGTTTTTTTAAGGATGAAGAGGAAAAAAGAAATCCATTTACTTGTCATAATCAATATCCTCGGGTATCTTAAGTTGTTCATCTTTTCTAAATTCTTCAACGTCTGCTTCTTGTCTTTTAAGATATATCCGGTATAGGCCTACGTATTAAATGTACACATAAAAATAAATCGATCCATAATAGTTAAAATGTCTTTTACATTATACATGCCTTCTATCCATAATCGACTTCTCAACGAAGGCGAAATTTCTGAAAGACCCGGAACTAATTCAGCGAGACGATCAAACGTTATACCATGTTGACCCATTATTTGAACTGCGCTATCATAGTGTAAAACACATATATAGTTAAAATATATTAATAAAATCATGCTTAGATTTTGTACCTTCGCTTAATCCCATCTTGATTAATATTTATGCCTAAATCCTTCCATTTCTGCGGCGACAATTCAAAATCTTCAAGAATTTGTGTGCCACGAGACATTTGCGACTCGGTTTCTTCAAATAATTTCCATCTATTTGAGCTTATACAGCCAGTTGCATAACCTTAACGAAAAAGAAAAATGTACATATTAAAATTGACTCTAAATTAAGAGCGATATTACCATTCAAACATAAGAGATTATATCAATAATTTAAATTTGCCTTTAGGTGTTAGTCGATAATCGGCATTATCCGCTCTTAAAGAGAGCCTATATTCCGAGCGTGACGTAAATATTCGATATGGTTCTTCAACACCTTTTGTTACTAGATCATCAATAAGTACGCCAATATATGCGTCGGCGCGATCTAATATGAATGGTGGTTTGCCGCGAATTGATAGGCTGGCATTTATTCCAGCGATTATTCCCTATTTTATGAATTCAAATATTTATAAATTAGATAAAAGTTTTTATTGGAACATAAAAATATTATACCTGTGCAGCTGCTTCCTCGTATCCCGTCGTTCCATTAATCTGACCAGCCAAATATAATCCTTTAATACGATGAGTTTCAAGAGTAGGATACAATTCACGGGGATCAACGTAATCGTATTCCACACCATAGCCTGTCATTAATGAACTTTATGATTTAAATATACCCTTTTTACGAATCCATAATAATAAAAATTATACCTGGTCTTAGCATTGTTGCATTCTCTAATCCTGGTATTGTTTTAAGTACCTTTCGCTGGATCTCTTCAGGCAAAGTTATCGAGATGCCATTCGGATACACGACATCAGTATCAAAACCTGAAATATTTAATAAGACAAACAATGACTTGATAATTATAATAGGAAAATCATCGTAAAAAAATAGAAAACATAATAAAAAGTCACCTTCCGGCTCCAACCATATAATGTGACCTGCCTTATCGGTGAATCGTATTATTTTAGATTCGATGGAAGGACAATATCTATAAATAATTAGTTAACTACTATCGTAAAAATTGCAAAGTGGGAAATCAAATATTTAAATAGTACCTTGGACCCTTAACCGTTTCTCTAATATGTATAGATTCTGATAAATTGTCAAGAATAATTTTATGCGTAGCAGAATTAGTTCTTGTCTGATGACACAATACTTGCTGTGACTGCAAAAAAAAGGCATTAGAGTTACAACAACCTATCAAGAAAAAAAAATTGACACATAAAGTCACATACTTCAAATGGCACTGACGTATGAAGATAAGAAAATGGAGTGGCCGGCACATCTCCATACTGAGGAAGTAGATTTGTATAATTTATTGTTTTACCATCCAAACGAGGGGGAGTTCCTGTATCATTAATCAAGTAGTTAATTAAATCAATACTCGTTAAGATAATGAATTAGATTCAGAAACAAATACCAGTTTTTAGTCTGCCAAGGCGAAATCCAGCCAATTCTAATGATTTAGATAATCCAACGGAAGCTGCTTCACCGATTCTACCTGAGGGATATGCAATCTTACCTTCACATCAAACAACAAAAAATACAGAAGGTATTTTTTGTTCAGATCTAGGATTCAATAAAATCTATTTATAGAATTATTATTGCAATTCTTACCAATGTGAATTTCTCCTTGCAGAAAAGTTCCAGTAGTGATTATAATTTTTGAAGCTTTTATAAGTTCACCCGATTCTTCAATTCGAAGAAACAAATATAAATAGAGTGAATATAAAAAATCATAACTGAACATTTCAAAAAGAAACTATTTACCAAGTCTCACACCCTGAACTTGTCCGTAACATGATGATGAAAAATCTTGATTTCCGGATGTTGCTGTATTAAGAGATGTCGATGAAGGATGCATAATAATATCATGTACACTGCCAGCTTTAATTTCCAAATTTGGGTAATCAAAAAGGCATTCTTGCATGTTTCGTTTGTAAAGCTTTCGATCTATTTGCGCACGAGGTCCCTACATAATCAGAACAAATAACATTGATTCGCATTATTTCACATCACATCAAATTTAATATAAGCAATCAAATTATGTTTATTACATGAACTGCTGGCCCTTTTGATCGATTTAGCACATGAAATTGTATACCAGATATATCTATTATTTAAGTTTAGTTGATTTATGAGCAAAGTTAATTTTAAAAATCCATCCCAATGAATCAACTTACCGGCAATTTTTCCGCATAATCCATCTAAGGCATCAATCTCTCGAACAAGCACTCCTTTTCCAATTCCACCAAATGATGGATTGCATGACATTTCACCTTTTTTATCCATTATTTTAAATTTTTAATTTTTATCAACAATACTTTACAACATAGGATGAAATTCTTCACCTATCGTATCCAGCCGATGGGTGATTAATAAAGTTTTTGAGCCAGTTCTAGCTGCGGCTGCAGAAGCTTCTGTTCCGGCATGTCCACCTCCGACCACAATAACATCATATTTTAATGCATCTGGATCTTTCGCCGCAATTATCACATTTCGGGAAATTATTTTGCTGGGAATAGCTTTTTGATAATGACTACGCCAATGAAAAATTGATATTAAATTTCGATTATATAATTTATTCATATTTATAATCTGTTAATGGATCAGATTACTTATCGCTATATACAAAATAGTCAATTTTATCGTAAATGAGTCATCGTGTAATTCTACATAAATCTGGTAAGATCGATATCATATGATCTAAAATTTTATTTTCTAATGCGCCAGGATAATGAAATATTCTAATAAATATTATTTTTACATTTGACAATCTTTGATCCAACATTATTCACTAATACAATAATGAATCGGAATATGGCAAAGAACTAACATCACCAATTGCGATTGCTGTTGGTTTACTCTTCAAAATTTTCTGAGCCGTCTAAAGAATAAATATAGGTGATTCGTTAGAAAAAAGGATCATCAGAGTATTCACAAAAAAATTATAAACCTACTTCTTGAATGTCACTTGTGTTTATATTCGCATACGCATTAAGTGCAGAAGGAGTAGACGCAGAAACCTATGAAAAAGGCAATTTAATGAGTAATGAATAACCTGATCTATTCAATTCTAATTAAATATTCACCTGATAAGCGCCCAAAAGTTCGGTTTTCAAGCCTCTAGTTTCAAAAGAAGCAGCAGTGTCGAATTTTGCTTTCGCCAAAGCTCTTTTGAATTCTTCGTTAGAGATTAATCCTTTTGCGACATTAGTTAATTGTTCGACTGTGGCTTCCGCGGCTTTACTGATAGATCCCGGATGATGACTTTGGATGAAAACACCAAATAAACCAATATCCGAATATCCAGCATTAAATGTGGTCATTTGTGTACCAGTCGATAATTTATTGATTGTTTGAGCCAATGCAGTAACACCAACACCCCATTTAGTATGTTTCTCTCCGTCTAATATGAATCGTAAGATTTGTAGTACTGCATAATCTTTGGAGCCTAAAGCTGCACCAGGAAATCCAAGTACAAAATGACTAGTAGGTGAAGAATTTGGAATTCTCAAATCGCCACCGTAATATTTTGAGTCGGTGCTGACGGAGACTAGAGGAGTTCCACTGTTTAAATCGTTAAAATAATGTTCTGATAAGTCTGCTAATCTTTTGTGATCAATCGCAGTGCCAACGATTGTGATATTTGAAGCTGTATAAACTTTTTCAGCAAATGATTTCACAATGTCTACATTCGTGACTTTTGTTGAAGATTTAGCAAAGAGCGAATTTCCAAGTCCGGTACGAAAAGCTACCGCGTGAGCTTGATCGAGACCAAGCACTTCGGGGACCGATTCGACAGCAGCAGATTCCAAATTAACCAACTTCTTGACATCATTGAATTCATAATGTGTATATTTGGTTTTCGAGATTGTATCAGATAAAATTTCCAAGAAAAAAGGTCTGATTTTATTACATTATCAATATAGTATTTATCGTATTTGTAGATAATAAATGAATAACCAGATGATGAGATATACAAATAAAATACATACAAATCTTCCGGAAGAAATTCCGCAGATAGGATTAAATTTTCACGAGTCAAATTCGCGGATAAAACACCACCAAGTAATTCTACCTCACGTGTTGTACGGAAGGCTGTGCGTTTAGTTGTATTCTAAAATAATAGATTTTTATTAACTCACGTGATCAAAAGATGATTCAATCGTGAACATACTCGCCTTAAATGCGAAATTTTTTAGATAATTAGTAACCCCAACATTATCCGATGTTTCAAATCGAGGACCAGCTTTAACTACAATTGAGACGGAAGAAGCTGGCGTTCGATCTTTTGTTGCATTAATTGAAATTTAATTAATTAAATTAAATCGTTTATGAAATATTATAACGAATATTCATTCGCTTATTTTAAAGTCACCTTCAATAGCCACGACGGTAACACCATTTGTGAGATTTGTTGCATGAACAGGAGCGTCAATAACACTGGCAAAGAAACGAAGTTGACCTATTTTATTAGTTTGGTTATTAATAAAGGCAGATAATTGTCGACCACCACTTTTATTTAAATTTTTAGTCGCTATCCTTAACATGTTTCAATATTCGTATAATTTAATGGGCCAAGGGCTAGTAGATAGATGTTGATGATCATCGCATATTAGCACGTGTTAACATATACAACAAATCTTGATGACGCATATCAATTACGTTCTCGGCATAAACTTTTTTCAAAATGAATGTTGGTTTCAAATTATGTTTTATAGTCTGGGTATCGTTAAATGAACTCATGGAACTCTGTTTCATTTACTTTATTAGGTTTATGAATATAATGGTGGTTCTGTAGTGGCAATGATGGGAAAAAACTGTGTCGCCATCGCGACTGATAAACGTCTCGGCGTGCAGTTAATGACCGTCTCCACAGAATTTCCAAAAATTTTTCAAATCACCGATAAAACTTATCTTGGATTGGCTGGATTAGCTACCGATGTTCAAACTTTGTAAGAACGTAGAGAAAGTTTTCAGTAGAAAAATTTACTTTCTAAAGCAACTGTTAATTCTTATACTTTTATAATAACAATATAGATCTGAACTTTTTCGATACAAGGTAAACATGTACAAATTACGCGAAGAACGTGAAATGGAACCTCGTACCTTTGCCCGTATGGTTGCCTCTACTTTATACGAAAGACGGTAAAGATATATGACATTTAGTATGCTATTTGCGTGCACCGTTAAGTTAAACCTACACGTTTGCATTCTATAGATTTGCGCCCTACTACATAAGTCCAATTATCGCTGGCCTAGACAAAAATAATGCACCATACATCTGTGGCATGGATTTGATTGGATGTCTTACCACCACAGATGATTTCGTGGTTGCTGGCACAGCTGAGGGAAGTTTGTTAGGAATGTGCGAAACTTTGTATGAACCTGATTTGGTAGGCGTTTCTTTAGCTCGTTTGTTTCATGAATAAAGAAACTTTTTTTTTTCTGATCACTTCCACTTTTTAATCTAATAACAGGAACCCGAGGATTTATTTGAGACAATCTCACAAGCATTAATTAATGCTGTAGATAGGAATGCAGCCAGTGGTTGGGGTGCTTTAGTACATGTCTTGTAAGAGGATCCTTTTTTATCATAGTGATCAAAAATTTTGACTGTTATTTTATCATGGTATCAAAAAATTTTAATTGTTAATCATTCTAATTTCTTTAATAGAACTCCAGAAAGAGTAATCACACGCACACTTAAGACTCGTCAGGTAAATTATATAATTTTTTTGTGCGTAAATATTATCAAATTTACTGATTTCTTGTTATTCATTCAACTTGTACAGGATTAGATTTATTTTGTTTATTATTTATTAAAGAGGTCATATTATTAATAAAAAAAAACTGATTACACTTTAATGTATATTATGATACATGAATATGCTTATACATGTATTTTGTCATAATAATTCAAGCTTGAGATTTTATAAATTGATTAATTTATATATAAAATTTTTTAATTTATTAATATTATATCAAAATAAAACTAATAAAATTTTGAATTTTTTCTGAGTTATTCTAATTGCAAATTTATTGTAAACTCTAATTAATTTGCAATTAGAAATAATTCTTGCAAAAAATAATTCAATTTAATATTGAATTCTGAATTGATTTAGAATTAATTTATATTTATAATATTTATATATATTTTAGAGATAACTTGAATTGGAATTCTAATTCAAATTAAGATTTAAAATTATAGTAAATAAATGATGAAGTTATTAATTATAATTAAATTACAAAATTTTTGAAAAATAGATAAATAATAAAAAAGATAATTAATTATTTAATATTTAATTAAATAAATTATTTTTTATAATATAATTAATTTCTATTATAATTATATTATTTAGTTAGATATTTTATATAATTATAATAAGTTTATATTAAATTTGAATATTATTTTCATAATTATTATAATAAATTGTATAAAAAATAATATAATTATAATAAGATTATAATAAATATAATTATAATTATAATAAAAATTGATTATAAATTCTTATTTCTAATTAATATTTTTATATACTTTTTAGAAAGTATTTATCTTAATAATAATAAAAAAAAAGAAATTTAACAAAAATAAATCAAGTAATAATTTTATAAAAGTTATATATATATATATATATATATATATATATTAATATAAAAAAATTTATATTTCAAATAAATATTAATAAATTATTTTTTCAAAATAAAATTTTAATTCTGTCTTATTTAATTAAGTTATTAGATATT